ACTGGTTGTGGGCCGAAACCCTATGGAACTCGTGGTTCGTGTCCGTAATGCTCCGATACGTCGTGTCAATGCACAGCACTCTACTCATTAACAGCGCCGCTCATATGTGGGGCATGAGGGTATGTTTTGTTGTGTGCATTCATTTAAATTACGAGTCTTATAACTCTCTACAAACACTAGTTTTTCACACGTTGAAAATTAACCCTTAAACACAACACTTATATTTTTACATATTATAATTAATACTGATTAGGAATAAATATTCCATAAACCGCAGACCCCGTGTTATCAAAAATCTATATAAAAATAATGATGAACCTCTTTATAACAATTCCAAAAATATATAATATACCCTTATAACGCTTGCAGCGCTTTGGTGACACCCACTTAAAATCAACAGAATTCTAACTAATATTGCTGATTTCTAACCAAATTCTCAAGCCAACTAGGTCATGGATTCTAGCCAACAAATTCTAATCAAATTTAAGCATTTCATGAGTTTTAACAGATAAAATTATAATTGTAATAATTTTACAGAAATATTGATTTTTAAATAATTAATGATTATTATGAGACGTTATTTATGAAATATATTTTTGATATCGAAGTATGTTATAGGGGGAGGGGGCAGAACGATTCTATAAACCACATTATTTATAGCTGAATTGTGATTAAAAATCATATTTCAAAAAAGATACTTCGATCTCAAAAATTAATTTTATAAATAACGTTTCATGATAATCATTAATTATTTAAAAATTTTATTTCTATAAAATTACCACAAATATAAGTTTATTGTGATCACCTGTTCAAACTCATGAAATGCTTAAATTTGATATGCTCCATGACCTAGTTGGCTTGAGAATTTGGTTAGAAATTAGCAATATTAGTTAGAATTCTGTTGATTTTAAGTGAGTGTCACCAGGGCGCTGCAAACGTTGTGAGAGTATATTATATTGTGAGAGTATAATATATATTTTTGGAATTCTCATAAAGAGGGTTATCATTATTTTGATGCTCCTTTATGATAGCCCTTAGCCTGAAGTCGATGGGATAATTGTTCTTAGTCAATATTAATTATAATATGTAAAAATATGAGCGTTGTGTTTAAGGGTTAATTTTCAACGTGTGAAAAACTAGTGTTTGGAGAGAGTTATAAGACTCGTAATTTAAATGATAATGGTTAAACATTGATAGATAATGTAAAATTTTTTGAATTAAACTATTGCTGCTAACCTTTTTGAGCAAGAGCAAACAAGCACGAGAAATGGTTACATTTTAGATTTCCTTTTATATTTTATAATTAATTTTCACATTTTTATATCAAGCCGTACGACAAAAGCATAGCACCGGTTGAGGCGAATGCACGACATTTTCTGATGGGCGAAGGCTTTCATAATTATCACCACTCGTTTCCCATGTAAATGATATAATTATTACTTTAATACCTGGCTATTTATTAAAAGGCATATAGTTTGCTTTCCAAGTCCAATAGCCCGGTATCTATTAGTTATTATTAAATATTTAACAATTGTTTTACAAAACATTATTGTTTGCAGGGATTACTCGCAGTCAGAGTTGGGTGCGATCGACGTGTTTAATCCGGCGACGGCTTTCATAGACATGTTTGCGGCCATCGGTTGGGCATATGATCTCAAAAAGGCGTCCATAGATGTGGTGAAGAGCCGACAGACCAGATGTGGTGACATTCACTACAAGTCCATCACATCCCGACTGTCGGAGCACATTGTCGGCTCATTTGTCGTATTTATGCCCATTTGGGTCATAACTATACTCCGGATGAATGTGTTTCTATGGCCAGTGATTGGTATCGCTTTATATCTGATTACATGCCATCCCAACGGCTTTAGTGCTAAAAATGATAAATAATTGTTTCTCTTATCACAAATTATTATTAAACGTATTGTAAAAATCAACAAAAAATTAATTAATATTACTTAATAATTACTTATACTAATAATTAAGATTTTATTAATAAAATAAAACTATTACAATTTGAGATTTATCATGCATTAAAAATGTTTAATAATAAAATACAATAATAGTAATGTATACTTTATATCCTTATTATTTTAAATTCTACGCTTTAATTAAATTTTACATTTAAAAAATTAATTATTAAATACTGTACACAATGTAATGTAAATTTAAATTATATCATTATAAAAATATTAATTTTACATTTATTAGTAAAATATTTAAACAATTCATTAGATAAGCAAAATATGTGAAAATTAAACCAAGTTACCAATTACATAACTCAAGTAAACATCTTATTTTAATGCAGTGATGGGTATATAGGTTGGTCAGATAATTGAATTCTATACACAATTAGTTAATATTTTAATTAAATATAAACTGTTACAATTATATTACAATTCAATTAATCAAAATTCGTTTTGCTAATATAACAATTGAGTAGAAAAAATATGAAGTTAATAATTTTATTTGCAATTGATTTATATATTCTGTTGATTACAGGTAAAATAACTAATCAATGTTTTTTGTCTTAACTAATTCTATTAAAAAAATACAATTTTAGTAAATTCATTGGCCATTGATATGAATCTATGCGACGATTGGATACCATATAAGAAGGAAAAGTGCTTTAAAGTCATTGAAAATCGTGCGAACAATTCAGTGGCACAAAGCAAATGCGCGCAACTATACCCTAACGCCTCGTTGATAACTATTGGGTCGGCCGACGAACAAGCATTTGTCACAAAATTCCTTTCCTTTTATAGCACCGTTGCTGATAGAGTGTGGACAGGTATGGCCAATACTATGGGGTCGGGCTATAGTAACTGGGTCGATGATTTTCCGAATAGAAGGTCAGTGTTATATGAATATTGCGTTCAAATGAGTATTTTTGGTAACTTTGCGGGCAAATGGTATTCGGAAATGTGCGCCCAACGAGCTATGGTAGTGTGCCAGCGCACCCAACAATGGACCATGGACATTTTGAATTCAATCATTGAGAACATCAACAATACTATGCAGATACATTATCAGAGGCAAAATAAATTGATTAATTATCTACTAGGAATTATTAATGATCAAGGACTGATCAAAGATATAAACAATGCTTCTAAGGTTTAATAGGTCACTAAATAATAGATTGGACAACTTAAAAGTGTGGACAACTTTGTAATTCTGTTTGTACCTATATATATAGTTGTACCTATGCTTGTACCATTATATAGTTTATTCTAAATGAATATTAGTAATTCTAGATAAAATTTAAATAATTAAAAAATAGTAATATTTTTGTTTAAATGTTTGATTTTCACAATGTTTATATCACTAATTAGTTTTTTAATATTATAAAATTAAAATTAATGTTACAATTTCCTTTAATTTTAAATGTAAATTATAATCGCAATATTAAACATAAATTATTATTGTTAGTGTTTATTATTAATAAATAAAAAATTTAAATTATTTATTAAAATAATAAATTATTATACCTAAATGATGTCTATTGGTATTTTCATTAAATATAAAATATTAATTAAAATATTTTCATTTATTATAATAGCTTTAATAAATGTTTGCATTTATTTAGCCTTTATCCAAAATTTGATTTAATAATCGTCATTGTATTTAAATTAAACATACAATAGAACATAATAAATTATACAAATATTTTAGCTTATATTAATAAAATAAAACTAAAACAATTGGAGATTTATCATGCATTAAAAATATTTAATAATAAATTATAATAATAGACTATTATTAATAGTAATGTATATTTTGTGTCCTTATTATTTTTCTTTTAATACATTTAAAAAATTAATTAGTAAATAGTATTTACTAAATACTGTACATCAAGTAATGATAATATTAATTTTACATTTATTATTAAAATATTTAAACAATTCATTAGATTAGCAAAATATGTAAAAATTAACATAAGTTACCAATTACATAACTTAAGTAAACATCCTGTTTTAATGCAGTGTCGAGTATATAGCTTGGTCAGATAATTGAATTTTATTTACAAACAGTTCTTATTTGATCTTAATACAAACCGTTATAACTATAGTTAATATTTCAATTAATCAAAATTTATATATTTTTGCAAATACAATTGTATAACAATTGGGTAGAAAAAATATGAAGATAATAATTGTGTTTGCAATTACTTTATTTATTCTGTCGACTACAGGTAAAATAACTAATTAATTTTTCTTGATTTAACTAATTGTAATAATAAAAAAATACAATTTTAGTGAATTCATTGGCCATTAATATGAATCTCTGCGACGATTGGATACCATATAAAAAGGAAAAGTGCTTTAAAGTGATTGAAAATCGTGCAAACAATACAGTGGCACAAAGCAAATGCGCGCAACTATACCCTAACGCCACGTTGATAACCATCGGGTCGGCCGACGAACAAGCATTTGTCACAAAATTTCTTTCCTATTATAGCACCGTTGCTGATAGAGTGTGGACAGGTATGGCCAATACTAAGGGGTCGGGCTATAGTAACTGGGTCGATGATTTCCCGTTCGAGCCTACTACCGAAGCTACCACGGTACTTTACAATAGTTATTCCAGTTATACCAGTTATAAGGGGAATACTAGGTCATTATTATATGAATTTTGCGTTCAAATGAGTATTATTGGTAACTTTGCGGGCAAATGGTATTCGGAAATGTGCGCCCACCGAGCTATGGTGGTGTGCCAGCGCACCCAACGATGGACCATGGCCATTTTGAGCTCCAACATTGAAACCATCAAAAATACTATGCAGATAAATGATCAGATGCAAAATAAATTGATTAATTATCTACTGGAAAAACATGGTGTTAATGCTACGAAAGTTATGGTTGATTATGGTTTAATTTATAAAATAAGCAATTCTACCAATGCTACAAGTGTTGCTGGATAAATTACAGAACAATAAACTTAAATACTATAAATACCAAAATTTTATTTTAGCCGTTTTAATTTTATTATGTGTGTTTGTCTATTGTATTACAGTTTTTTCTATGCTTTCAGTTTTGAATATAAATGTCATTATATTTAAAATTTATTTATATTATTATAATAGTTTTACTTATTCATAGTTTAAATTAAATAGTTTAATCAATTGCCTATTTTATTGCTCGGCAATCTTTTTTAGCATATCACATATACAGATTCACAGTGTGCCATAAATAGGT